GACCCATAGTTGAATGCTCATTGGAAGAATGTCTAATGAATAATTCATGAGTTTTAGAAGCATAACTTATTTTTTTATATCGTCTCTTAATTTATTGGTTTTATATTTCATTTGAAGTGGTTTATTATTAGGAAGGCGTTATTCACGATGCTGATGGAGACCACTTGTTCATCGAGCCAATTCTTGGTTATAACCACCGAGATGGTCATCACCCTCACCTTATATACAGACGGTCAGCCTTRCAGCACCCCCCTGATGGCGAAATGTATTTAGACACACATGGTGAGAAGGGCTTTTAACCTGCAGGGTATAAAATAAGTAAACAAAWAAGTTCTTGAATTCTARAAATRATTTTTACGCTTTGTTTCTCAACAGAGAAAATATCTCTTGCAAGACGTAAAAAGGAGCCATATTTGGAATTGATAAGAGAAGCAAGTCATTTTCGTGAAAGAAGGTCAATTTCTAGTGAGCGCAACGTTGAAGTATTAGTTGTAGCTGACAAGTCTATGTATGACTTCCACAAAGACGATTTAGAGCACTACTTACTCACCGTCATGAACATGGTAAGAGCCTGGGACCTAGAACTTGTCAACTCGTTATCAAAGTTTATAATTATKATCGAAATCAGATTTGGCTGAACTCTACTTATAATCGGAATATAAAAGTGCATCAATTGCCGTATGTGCGATTCGTCTTATCGAATCGCACATACGAATCATTTCATACCGTGGAAGACTGGGTCCCTTAATTCAACGAGGGTGCGATAGATCGAAATATCGCATTGTAACAGAGCAACGTGGGGGGTCTCAGGAGATCAGGAATCCCAGGCCTTAACATGCTTGAGAAATCATAAAGTTCAGTGTTAATCAGATCAAATGTGAACGATTGACAGCTTTTTTATTTGGAAAAATGCGTACGCATCGTCTGACATCTTTTTTAATTGTGAAAATCGTTCACTATTGATATGATCGATAYCAATTTGGACAGTTAGTATTTTTCAATGTGGTCTTTTATTCTTCACCATGACAATTAAGGGAATTGCATCCAGTCCTCTATGAAATCACGCATCTATAGCGTCCATTACGTAAAAACGCACGCAACACTAAAGTTTCATTTTTTTGCATTCAGATCAAAAATGAATCTTTTACAGGTCATTCAGAATCGTGCGTACTTGTGACTATACTACGCCACGGATTTTTACCCTGAGTTAATTCATTTACATCTACGATGAATTTATTAGTCGGACTAGCCGAAGGCCAGGTCGACTTGAGTTTTACCTTTTAGACTATCAATCTATCTATCTGTGTATTTTGCCGCGTTTGGACCACCGGAAGTTAAGAATTTAATGATTAACTATTGGGTTGGCTGTGTTATTACATGACTGGAATCTCAAACGTATAGATGTATGAATATCGTTAGTATGTTATATGCTACTTTTATGTGATAAAAAAACTATTCGTTTACAAATGTGGTATCTGTGGTATCTGTGGTATCTCATCGGAATGTATCAGTCTAGGCATCAGAAGTACGCGCATGTGGAGATCGCATGGAGCTTCGAGTAGTATGCTTACGAAACTGAATTCTAGCGTTAGACAGTCTTGCCGTTTGGGCAAAGATTTCAAATTAGAACAAGAAGAAACTTTGTTTATCAATAACAAAAAGGCGACTTTGATTGTTTTATAGTATTTATTATTAAGTATTTATTTTTATTTTCTTGGCTTGAGAGGTCAACAATTTGAATTATAAACGTATTAGATATCATGATATCATTTAGCGACATTTAGTCTACCACGTTTGATTTTATCAGTTCAGTTAAAGGTAAAATACACTCTGTTCGTAGGGTATTAATTACATGACCTTTTAGGTCCAATTTAGATTTCTATCGTTTTGAAGTCGTTGCAGAGAGCAGTCAAAAAGAATATCGTATCGTGTGAATAAACGGTTTTGAACAGTACATTAAGTAACGCATTCTTGCTTTCACTATGTATTAGAAGTAAAAAAATATATATTCTACGCTATAATTTACATTCATAATATAATTATATGATTAGACAGAATATAACATCATAATCTTATCGTGTCTTTAAAAAACTTTTCACTCGTTCTCCTATACGCGCATCCATGTAATATCCTGTCTTTATCAACTTTCAAAAATAGCTAGTCCGACTTCACGCTCCAAGAGCGTCTAGTTTTATTTGAAGGTCCAGGGAACTAAGAAAACTTCTATTCGAATGAAATTTCTTCTGAGACTATAAATAAATGCTAAACTTCYTTTTAGTCGTAGTTCTGTTGACTAGGATTACCGTTGTAAATTCAGCTGTGAGCATCCCATAATAGTATGCTTTTGTTTAGGTTATGACAATACGCATTTGCAAATACCACCTTTCCTATTAGATTGACAAGAATTTGTTACAGGAAAACCTCACTATCGCCTTCGCCTCGTGAAAATGATCTCGATCTATCCAACATAACAATTAAATGTCTTATCAAGGTGAATAACATATTCCGTCACGCAAGTGTGGGTAACGCAATCAACGTTGTGGTAGTTCGAATGATCATTCTGAAAGAAGATCAACCTGATCTCAGGATAACGCACCATGCTGGGGACACTATAGAGAGATTCTGTAAATGGGCCACTGCAGTGAACCCGAAGTCAGACAGGCACCCTAACCATCATGATTTAGCGATTCTTATTACCAGGTAAATGCGCACCCTAACCATCATGATTTAGCGATTCTTATCACCAGGTAAATGCGCACCCTGACCATCATGATTTAGCGATTCTTATCACCAGGTAAATGCGCACCCTAACCATCATGATTTAGCCATTCTTATTACCAGGTAAATGCTGTCAATGATGGTTAGGAATAATTTCTAGGAATAGTTGTACAACTGTGATGTATTATAATCGATATAGGTAATAGTGCCTCTGTTAGCAAAAATCAATATCACTGCTTGCGACGTAGAAAAAATTTCACCGAGACAGAAGTGATGCGAAATAATTATTCATTTACTCTCGTGATTTTATCCCGACGAACGCAACGTTGTATATATGAGTAAAAAAATGATCACATCACATCCATAAAAATCTCTCACTCAGATGTAAGGATAAGTCTTACTTTTACACTCATTGATGACTTCAATAGAAGTTTGCGTGTGGCAGGGATTCCATGCTAGTGCCTTTCTAGCAGCAAGAGCTCTTTCTGTGTTTTCTGTCCATGCTCCAATCAAGATAATTAAAGTTCTCTACTTTTAAATGAATCTGAATAGCTCCAACACTTTCCAGTTTCCATGGGATTTTACTGGATGTCTTTAATACAGGTTTTCATTGACCAGTAAGCGAATATTACGTAAAGTGAATTTACTACATTGAACCTCTTTTCAGACATGACATATGTAGAGGAATCAACGAGCCATGTGGGACACTTGGTAAGATATCTGTGCATAGTCATTCGAGTAGTATTCATGCTATTATTACAGTAAACGGTGTTTCAGGTACGAGCAACAGCTGAAAGTAAAAAGACAACAAAATATTTTTCAGGTCTCAGTCAAGTGAATGGTCTGTGTACAAGGACGAAAAGTTGCAACATTAACGAGGATACTGGTTTACTTGTGGCGTATACCATCGCACATGAAATAGGCCACAAGTAAGTGTACAACATATACTTTATTAGTTTCCTCTGTGGGATCTTCCAACTAATTTACAAGTGTAATATATGCTATCGATAGTGAAGTGAATTCTTCAAGATGTATTTATATAACTGATGGAGTAATGATGTAGAGATGAATTGATTGGTTGATAGTTAGATTGACTGATGCTTTTCCTGATTCTTTGGTTGATTGATTCTTTGATTGATTGATTGATTGATTGATTGATTGATTGATTGGTTGATTGATTGATTGATTGATAGTTTGATCATGATCGATCGATTTATTGATCGATTGTTTGATAGATAGATAGATAGATAGTATCAAGATATTCTTCTGTTTGATTGATTGATTTATTCGGATTGACTGATAGTTTGTCTGATTGTTTTGATTTCTAGTTTTGGTATTCTTCATGATGGTGATGATAACAGTTGTCACGATGGCTCACGTCGTCACATCATGTCCCCGCTGCTGTACCTATCTGGTCGTCCTCAGTTCTGGTCCACATGCAGTCGAGATTATATCAGACGTTTTTTAAAGTAAGTTGGTGACAGAATATCATGGAACCACACTACTTACACCTTTTTATGAAACAAACACACAAACATCGGACACGAGTTTAGCCCAGTTAATTGTAATGTCGATGAAGAGAGGCTTTAAAGGCATCTTTCTTTGTCATCAGTAAAGGTTGGGGATGGTGCCTGAACGACGCACCCTCTGAGCATCCTAATTTCAATAGCCGCGCGAACCTGCCAGGGACCATCTACGACGCTGATCACCAATGTAGAGTGCAGTATGGCAGAAACTCCTCACACTGTAAAGGCATGATGGTAAGTTCTATACAATCCWTTTAAATATATATCAGGGTCAAAAGTCTACTTTTGAGATGTACGAATGCATAGAAGTCTCAAGATGCTTGTTATTGATACTAATGATTTTAACATWAATCTCAAAGGGCTTACATCAACTAAATCATCTTAGTACATCAACACAGGGGATTAATAACAATAATAATTTCAAAATAGTTTTTTCTCTCAACAACAAGTGAATATACCATTTTTGAAACACTCGCTCCGCATCAAAACTGATTTAGTTAAATCCTTTGGGCATTGAGCCGATATTTAAATAGAAGGATATTATCATGTAACTAAAGCGGCGTTTACACGAGCAATTTTTCCTTGACAAGTTTCTTGACAAGGAAAAATTGTCTGTGCAAATTGTCAACAAGTTTTCCTCGACAATTCTTCCTTGACAATGTTTCTTTGCTAGTGGAAACGAAGAACAAGGACCATTTTTTTCCTTGTCAAGGAAAAATTACTCGTGTAAACGCCGCTTAATTTTCAAAGAAATCAACTTAAACTGAAAAGAAGTACTTAACAACGAACAACGATTCTAAGCCAGTGTTATTCATTTCCTAACACCATATTTCCTTAAACTTAAACACAAAGTCGTAAGGTGATCAGCTCTATTAGTGAACCAGAGTTCATTTCATCTTATTTCCTTTTGCTTCGTTTTATTTTTTATTTTTTGCTTTGGCTTTTTATAGCGGGTTATCGATCCTTATTGATAGTGTTACTAGATAAAGAATGTTAATGAGGATATTTTATGAATATTATTGTTTCAAGGATATGTGTAGCACATTGTGGTGTAAGGTTGGCAACTCTTGTCAGTCAAGATTGGAACCTGCTGCTGACGGTACTGAGTGTGGGAACAAAAAGGTAGAAATCTTCGATCCTCGMCTAAATTTATCAAGTCAATATGTGGTTTTGCAATCAGATGAATTTTTTCAAATTCAACAAAAAATATCTAAATAATAACTCAAGAGAAAAGGGTAGTTTAATTAAATAAGTTTTAAATCAGTTTTGAGGTAAGTGTTGTTGTTGTTGTTGTTGTTGTTGTTGTTGTTGTTGTTGTTGTTGTTCTTGAATAGGTTGTCGACTGTAATCGGCTGATCGACGTGACTCTTTTATTGACTTGTACCAGTATGGAAGTAGAGGGCCCCACCGCACCCATCACTTTACCCCAGCTTGATGGCGGTACCCATTTATACACATAGATGGAGAGAGTCAAGTAGAGAGCGTCTTGTATATAAAACCAACATGATTACCTGGTCTGAGTATAAAAACCAGGTCTTTTTTGAAGAAATAAAGTACTGTAAAATAGTTCGATTTATTAAAGAATAAGGAGGGAAAAAAAGAAAGAAATGGTGGCCAGTAATGTGGTATTTGTGTGTAGGTTTGTTATTTAGGAGAATGTATCGACATTAAAGACATACCTAAACGAGTAGACGGTGGCTGGGGTTCCTGGTCAAACTGGAGCCGGTGCTCTCGGACATGTGGTGGTGGTGTGTCGTACTCGCAGAGAAACTGTGACAATCCCAGGTAAGAACGAGTCCGATATTAGAAGGACACAAAGTGTCCTCTGTTTATTTTGTGTGACCAATGTCAATAATTATATTTGDCATTCATAGACCTGACGCTAATGGTAAATATTGCATTGGAAAATGGAAAAAGTACATCATGTGTAACACACAGGTAGATGGATTTACTAGATACGAAATGAGTTACATAAATGAGTTACATAAATATATAAATGATTTTCAAACTACATTCATAAAAGTAACAGTATACAGGAATTGTCATCTYTTRTTGGTTATATGTCACGGTRATGCTTATTATATTACTACTGATCTAGTCTTAGTTTGTTTGCTACATGCATATGTTCACATTTAAACTTTACGTTCTAGTGTTAAGAGATAGCTTCGATGGATTACACTGACTGATTTCACACATATWTACATCCCGCTCCTATTCTCAATGGTATCCACCTTGTCACAACATCACGCTTGTATTCATTACATATCGTTAGAAAATACATTTTCTATATTTCATATGATTATGGTTCTTTCAGAAATGCCTCCCGGGAACACCAAACTTCCGTGAACAACAGTGTGAAAAGTTTAACGGCAAGGTTTTCAGAAACAGAAAATGGGAATGGAAACCTGCAACAGTGAAAAGTATGACCACTCTTCYTGAAGTCTTTTTAACTAAGGAGTTGTTTGTTTTGTATTATCATTTTGATTCCATATCGCCCTAGGTCCAAGCCCCTACAATTAAAACCATAATAGGATTACAATCAATGAAAAACTTTACTTTCAACAATAGAACGASCTTGTGAATTGAACTGCTCCCCTAAAGGAATCTACGGTTTGTACATACGAAAGAAATTCTCTGATAAAGTGATTGACGGTACGCGTTGTCATCCCTCTAAGAATGATGTCTGTATCGACGGCAAGTGTGAGGTAAATACACATTAGGCAACTAGCTTGGCATGTGTAATCTATCGTATATGTACATACGATGCTATCAGGTACGATAGTTGTCGATAGTTGTCGATAGTTGTTGGGATCTCACCACTCGTAGGAACCCACTTGGTAAAAGTAGATCAAGTAAAAAACTATTCGTCTATTTGCGTGGTTATTCTTAATAGATGTTGCTATCGATACCATAGATGTTGCTATAGATACCACAATTGGTGTACCATAGATGTTGCTATAGATACCATAATTGGTGCTATTGCGGATGCCATAGATGTTGCTATAGATACTATAATTGTTGCTATTGATACCATAATTGTTGCTATAGATACTATAATTGTTGCTATAGATACTATAATTGTTGCTATTGATGTCATAGATGTTTTCCATTTTTATCATTGATTCTATTGTCATAGTATGTTGGCTGTGATAATGTTCTCCATTCTGACGCTAAGGAGGACCGATGTGGGGTGTGCCATGGTGATGGGTCAACGTGTGAGACAGTACGTTCGTTATTCAACCAAACGACAGGCAGCGGTAAGTGACAATAGAGAGTTTTAGCATCACGTTGACGGCAAACGGCTAACGGCAGAGCTGAACCAATGACCTAAGAAATTCGTGCCCGACATGTGCTTTTGGTAGTCATTTGAAAGAGCGGCTTTTCATGATTATGGCAACCTCAAAATAACCCGCTCTCGCGTTGAAACTGCAATGTTAAACTCCAAAAAAGCAGATCACGTGATCTTTTCTGCCGTTTGCCGTGAACGTCATGCTAAACCTCTCTAATATAGGAACATTAACATAAGAGAATCAAGATCCAGACGTGGACGCCAATGTGTACTCGCCTCGCGTGACTCGTTGCGCCCTCTTGTTTGGCACGTTGTCACGTGACGCCTTGTGAGTAGCGTCAAACAAACAAAACAACCACGATACTTACATTTCATGTGCGGCCTTCGTGGATAGGGGATTTTTTATCCTCTAAAAAAWTATAACGCAGCACTCCGGCACAAAAAACGCTCTACTAAAATCTAACATAGTACAAAAACTCTTATAATTGAATATATTACATTGAACTATACACTACAATTCCACAAGGGACACTCGAAGAACTGTTTGCAAAGACAATTGATGCATAACAGGCCATTACAAGAAGTTCKGATTTGCACGTAACAGTTTTTAATGTAACTTTATAACTTTTACCAGGCTACGTGGAGACCACTGTCATTCCTGAAGGAGCGCGTAACATCAGGGTTGAAGAGGTAGCTGGTGCCCCCAATTACCTGGCGTTGCGGTCATCTACTGGGAAATACCTGCTWAACGGTCATTGGTACATCCAGTGGAGCGGTGAATACAAGGCAGCAGGGACCATTGTACGGTATACAAGAAAACACAACAAGGAAACATTTGTGGCTGACGGGCCGACCGATAGCGCTCTACATATTATGGTGAGTTAATAAGTTATAATACAGCGGGCTGTACAGATAATTATTGCTGTTTTTCAGTTCATTTTATTGTTTCTGTAGCGTTTTGGTTTTGGTTCATCATGCCAGTTTTACATTGATCTCAGCCCTCAATCGAATGCAAAACAATAAACAATCGTTAGGGCATGAGACATTTGATTTAATCTTACTCATTTGCTTGCATCCAAGCTTCTTTTTCAAACAAGAAATCCCGGTGTCAACATCAAGTACACGATATCTCGAAAGAACACATCAAATAATGCGAGTAAACAAAGTCTAGAGTTCATTTGGCGATATAGTGAATGGTCGATGTGTTCTGTCACGTGTGGAGTTGGTAAGAATAACATTCATCGAAGTAATTTATGTTTGATTATAGAAACAGAAATAATGCATCACAACTTATATCTTTAAAAATACAAAAGAAAACATTATGTAGCTACTTCGAAGTTTTTCTGAGTATTTTTTTGAAGGAATAATTACCACAARTTTCMCCTCCAATTTTTTTTCCGAAAAGAGGAAAACCCAAACAAACTAGCAAAGATTCGAGGTCGCCATAACAGTTTTTGCTTTAACTAACCATACAAATAAACTAAATGAGCAATGTCATTGTAAAAGGCACCTACGATGCTAAGGTCCCTTTTGTTCGCGGCTCTCTACCCTACAGATCAGTGCTCACGGGCGTGTACTTTATGGGCTATTTGAAACACGAAAAATATCTTCTTAGAATTCTTAAATTAAACTAAGTATATGTATAAAAAACTAAAARCGAAATCACAACAAGGGCAAAACAACAGACAATGGAAAACAAGAGTACGATTTAGTGACTTGTAGACCATTATCACTTATAGAGAGGYAGATCATGCTTCAAATGTGACCTTCTATTTCTGGAATAAAACTGGAGCCAACTTGGTTCTATTTCTAGTGGCATAAATCAAGTATTATTATCCAGACTAAATTTAAGGTCACCAAAAGCTAATCAAAAAGCGCAGAATTTTAAGTTCGGTGTTATCTTTGAGGAATTACTTTTTATCCAATGAGAACGGTTATATAAAAAAACTCTTATTAACAGAGCTTTCCTGCTTTAGATAGAACAATCTAGACCMTGGTCAGTCGTTCAAACCTCACTGCGCTCGGTCTGTAATTCCCTACCGCAGTCTAGATTTTTCTATCTAGACCTCCCGCTCGGTTGATAAGACCTGAACACAAGTGGAAGTATCGATCTGAATGCCAAACCTTACAACGACACAAAAATATGCAAATAAAATGATAATAACTATTACTGTTGTCTTGAATGTTTTTGTCAGGAWACCAAAGATCGAACGTAGTTTGTTTTGAGAAGTTGGGAGATTCTCCTGTTGACGATCAGTACTGCAACAACACGAAAAAACCTGACGATAAACAGAGAACCTGCGGTGGAAGACTTTGTCCTGCTGTGTATGTATAATAATATATAAATAATATATAAATAAGACTTTTATTATACATGTTAATAATCAATGAATGGTTTTGYATTTCTTTGCAGCTGGTACAAAGGACCATGGCAATCGTGCTCAAAGTCCTGTGGTCATGGTGTGGCGGTTAGGTCGGTGCTGTGTGTGCGAAGTATCAAGAATGACGAACAAGTCGCTCTCAATGATAAASAATGTGACAAAGTAAAACCAARGTCGMTAAGACTATGCTCCAAGAAGAAATGCCCTCCCCCATGGCATGCTGGGAAATGGACTAAAGTATGTAGTTTTGTTGTGTCAACCCCCAAGGGTGGGTTAACAGCATTAACAATGTAATTCAAAAAGAGGACATTTATATCAACCAAGACCATTATCTTTTTGTTTGCAATTGTAAAAACAGTCAATTCATTTAATCACGTGACCTTTAGTGCTCAGTGTCATGTGGACGAGGAACGCAACGCCGAAATGTTGTTTGTAGTCATGGTAACTCGACTCAACATCCATGTGACAAGAACTCTAAGCCAATCACGTGGCAGTACTGTAATTCCGGAGACTGTAAAATGACAAGCAAGTACCTGTACTCTAAGGTGAGAAGYTCGTTAATCGAGGGGTTGGAAGGGCTGTGATTGATTTGTGTTTGTTTTTAGTTATTACATAAATTACAGTACATGGATGAGGCTAACGTAGTAGACAGAGATTCCTCACATTCCATTTCCCATGGTGCAGCAGTTGCAGTCACGTGTACAGGCGAAAAGTGTCGTCCATGGATACGRGGTCACTGGAGTAAGGTACATAGAATAGTTTCAAATCTAAATGGAGGTCATTATATTAAAAGCTAAGCTTGTGTCTTTCAGTGTTCGGTGAGATGCGGACAAGGAGTGCAGACACGTCGAGTCTACTGCCAAGGCTCCCCACGTTACTGCGATCCACGGATCAAGCCAGCCAAACACAGAAAATGTCGCATGAAACCCTGTCTTGCATGGAARGCTGGGCCATGGACAAAGGTAAAGATCACTAGGAATATTGTGTCTTCAGTCACAACACTTTATACTCTCTCACTGTCTCGTCTTCTCGGAAAAAGACGTAAATACGGATGTTTTTCATTCAGCATCCACACTGCTATTCGACTAAGGGAAGGGCTCGGAGTTTGTGTGGTCAGGTCTCACAGTCTCATCTGTGCTTTGGGTTCGCATAAGTATCAGTTGGTAACGCTGTTGTGGGTGCCGGGCACAAACCGAAAAGTTATAAATCATCACCATTATTRCTATGTGGCTAACTATTGTTAATGCTATTGGTGTATTTTACCAGTGTTCAGTAACATGTGGTCGTGGTAGTCGCAAACGTATTGTCAAATGTTATAACCGAGACACTGGTAAAGTGACTGGAGGATGTTCAAAATCACAAAAACCCAAACATTATCAGCAGTGTTCATTAAGGAGGTGTCCTTCCAAGAAGAAAGGTATATCGACTTGATTATAGAATTCATGAATTTACATACCGAGGCTGCTGAACTACCAAATTGAGACAAACGCTTGAATCTATAATACAACATTACATCGGACCTGTTCTTTTTGTTGGGCAATGSCGTTTCGAAGACGATAATGGCATTCTATTCAAAACGAATAGACCCCTTGCATGTGACGTCAAAGCAGCTTCACCTGGAGGAAAACAAAAGATTTTTACCCTCTTGGGAACTAGAATCTATTCATTTGACCTTCAGTTGGAATTGCATTCCCACGAACTGAAAGGGGTCTATACTGCAGTTTCGAATTCTCCAATGCTATGTGTTAGCCTCATTGTGTACAAAGTATTCCTCATTGTGTGCATTTTTTCACTCTTTTATAAAAGAGTGAAAATTTTCCAATAAAATTTGTTTTCTTTCTTTACAAATGCGTTTCTCCGAGTTATCAATGAGACAAATGATATGTTCGGCGGCCTGGTTTTAAGGCTAAACACAGAACAAACCAGAACTCGAAATTAGAGTATTGGATAATTTCTGTCTTTGTACAGATTGCTTTTATTTCTTTTTATCGAAAAATTTATTTTGTTTCTAAATTATTTTGTAGAAAAGAAAAAATGTGGAGAATACGGGAAAGATGCTTCGTTTTGCAAACTAGTTGGATTACATGGATTTTGTAAATTCTCTCATTGGAGGAAACGATGCTGTTTGACATGCGCAGGATGGCCCAGGAAGACAGCTAATTGAGTATGCGCTATTTTTAAGCTACCCAATATTGCATCATGGAAGCAATTAGGCAACAGACAAAGATCGCATCGACKTAGCGAGCGATTTGATGTCACTAGCAATGAACCCGCGCGAGACGATGGTTCGTTTACGCACTACTTAATAAGTACAGCTTTCAAGATGAACGAAGATCTAGCGGTGGATTGGTTCTCCCAAATGCTGTTGTCAGTTTGCTTTTCGTTATCAATTTGTTTTTGTCTTCATATTTCTAGTTATCATCACCCGGGCTTCCAATTTTTAATGTAAAGGCTCTAAAATTATAAGATAAGGCACACCGTGAATAAGACATTTTGGAAATGATTGTAGATTGCATTCATTATATTCATGAAAACAGAGCGGTTTGCTTGTTATGAACTAGTAAAAGACCTTTGCATTCTACTATTTTTAGAAAAGTAGCAATTAATGCAATTAGTGCACTTATTAAAACAAAATTCGAAAGCGAGCATTGGCCAGCGGTTGTCAACCAACGCGTTTTTGATRYAGTAAGTYCTTGCAGGCCCGTAGCAGGGTTAAAAAAATCWTGAGGGGGSCCACTTTTCAACGAGCCGAAAATGGTGGTTTGGTTTGATTGAGRTAGARTCAAAGCACAAGGAGTTATTGTGACGATAAGCATGTCAACTTAGAGAGATCTAGCGTTCCTTCCAAAGACGAAACATATTTCGGAAAACAAAGTATTCCCATTTGACATAATCAAGAAACGTTTTCAYGRTGTCTGCGTTGACTCTGATGCGTGAATTTTGTCGTGGCATGTTTTTATACCCATGCAAATAGTTGTTTTCTATTTTG